TTTTTAGAAGGGCCTCTCCAACCTTCAACATGGTTTCGCCCCTGACTGGATAAATAGCCTTAAAATTGTGCACCCCATGCATCGCACGGGCTCTGTAGTGCAAGATTAAAGTAATGAAAAATAATATATAATATATTATATGAAACTCGAATCCTATTTGAATAATTTACGAATTATCCTATTTGCTATATAAATATATAATAAGTGTCGTAATCGGCTTTGAATTTGGTGACAACTAAACAATAATTAATTGCATTGAAAATAATATATACAGATCCATGTGAGAGCAAATGGACTTCCAATTTTATTATGTCAACTTACGGATACAAATGCTTTGACGATGATCTATTTTTAGATTCATGCATGGAGATTGTATTTTCAAATGTTTCTGTATTTTTTTTTTTTTTTTTTTTTTTTTTTTTTTTTTTTTTTTTTTTTTTTTTTTTTTTTTTTTTTTTTTTATCATGCCAATTTACCTGCTGAGTCATATGCTTTCACATTGAGTTCAAAGTTCAATAGTACGGGGGAATGCTAACATGTCGTTACGGGATGGTTCCGTTGTATTTTGTAGTCGTAGATATACATGTAATTTAGCAATGTATAGATAATCTACGGTTAAAAAATACAACGGAACCATCCCGTAGCATTCTCTATGTTCCCTAATATATAATTCTTATACATATACACTAATTTATTGACTTTTTTAATTAGTCCTTTTTAGGATATAGAAATCAATTCAAGAAGTGTTTGTATGGATTTCAGAAATTAATTAGTTTAAACTGAATTTTGAAATAAAATCAATAATAAATATTAAAATTAAATAAGAAAATAAATTACAATACATAACATAAAAGATAATAATTTGCAGTAATAATAATTCTTAAAAAAATTCATTATATATTATATAGTTCGTTTTTACTAATTGTCAAGATTTAAAAACGTGATATGCTCATTATCTAACTTATAGTTCTAATTTTATAACATATGTAACAAATAATATATATATATATTATATATGCATGTAAACATATAGATCCGACTACTAGTTAATAGAATGTTTTAAACATTTACCTATTTTTAGAATTATGTACAATATATATAAATATGTGTGTGCGGGTGCGCGCCTTTAGATGAAATATATAAAAAAATTTATTGTGTAGTCCAGATTTGAATTCTATATTTAAAATTCAAATAAGTAATTATTTATAACTTACACATTAATATTAACTTGAACATAAATGGAATAGTCAATTAT